GTGGCACTTCAATAATATTTTTAAAAGCCTGTCAAGTGCCTGGTCATATTGAGTAACACGTTTGCTCATTAACAACACAGCATATGCTTAACTAAAGAGAATATCTGATAGATTGTAACTGGAATACACAGTTGAGGTCAGACTTCTTAAAATATAATTGTAGCTGTTTGCCTAAACTCTGATTGGCTATGGCTGTTGCTAGGCTGATACTGTTTTAACCCAAATTGCAAAGTCAATATAAACTGGTTAGACTAGACTGTCTGCTTTTTCCCCTTTTCCCTCTTGGATTCATTGGCATTTTGTTGTTTCAGTGTTTGTTCTGGATTTGATTTGATTTTAATATCCTTGTGAAATCTGTGCATTGACTTATGTAAGTAATTTGAAAAAATTAATGAAAAGTTATAGAATTTGTAGTCTACTTCTTTGTAAAGGATGAAGGAAACAGCTTTAATTGTTTTGGGTGTGGCGTTGATGGTCTTGGTGAAAAAGTCATTCTTGCTTTTGTAAGGGTTCTTGCTTAGAGGAGGATAAAATCAGAATGGGATTTTGTAGGATTCTTTTGAATTCATTCATCCATTTAATAAACATTCAGTAAGACACTGCAGTATAAAAGGAAAAGATGGAAAGACGAGATTATGGTCAGAGAAAGGAATTTAAGAATTCAAGATTAGGGCTTTAGGGTGATGGTGAGATCTGAGGTGAAGTTCTGAAGATACGTTAAGGGCCGGGGAATACTTAGGGATTTGTTAAGACAAGTCCCTGCAATCTTTTATGAGAGATAAAACATGTATGTAAATGACTAATGCATATTAAAATGTGATAAATACTCAAATAATACAATTCAAATGGGAAAATCATATGGGGAATCACTACCTCTGGGGCAATCAAGGAAAGTTTCTGGGATGTTGCTTGGGGTAGAGAATGATGTGAGCAAAGGCCTGGAGGTGAGAAATGTGGGATGTGCTCAGGAGATAAGGTTTAAAAAAATAGGATTTAGCCAGATTTCTGGCCCATTGAATGTAAAGCTAAAATCATCGAAGAGTTATATTTCGAGCCCCTTGGATGGTATTTCGTAAGCAGTAAGAAATCATTAAACATATCTGGTTAAGGCGGTGATGTGAACCCAACATTGCAAAAGATAACATTAATGGCCTCTGAAGTTCCTTCCCACTCTGGATCCTGTAATTTTATGATCTTTCTGGAAACTTGAATTTTCTGACATTAAAAATATATATGCATTTGTAGAAAGTAACATTTTTAAGATGTCCCTAGCTGTGCCCTAAGCAACTCTCTATGTTACCTATCTGTAGTATGGCTTTGATCAGTACAATGTTCTTTTTTTGTCTGAAGTTGGCACCCAGACGGTCTTAGCTCCTAGTATACTTAAGCTTATCTTTCCCTTTGTACTTTGTCTGGTGATCTGGGCCATGCTTAGGCCCAAGAGGAAGCTGAAATCATCAAAGAGCTATAGAATCATAAAATGTCAGAGCTGTGGAGTTAATGTATTGCCCCTCCTTAGAGACCTTCTTGTTTATTTACCTTACCCTGTGAAGACCCAGAGTGCTTAAATGATGGTGTGCCCAAAGTTCTTTTGTAGAAAAAGAAAACTGTCCTCTCACTCAACAACCATGGCACTGCATAGAAAGAAATTATCTGAATTTTGATCTCATCAGCTCCCGTGGATTTAATTATCATCTTCATGCCCATGATTCTCAGATCTCCTAATTCAGCCCTAATCTCTCTGTTGACCTTTAGTCTTGCATCTCCAACTGCCAGCTGGACATCTGTAACTGTCCAGGAGAATCGGTGGTAGCTCAAAAGAAGCGTGAGATGCACACATTTAGAGCCATCTCCACTCCAAATGCTCATACAGGCTTTTTGTGCCAACCAGTGGTGGAGCCTTCTGAGCTCATATTGGTCTGATCAGCCATAGTCAGATACACTGTATCTTGACCAAAACATAGTGATGTCATTTTTGGTCCTCTTTGATTATGAGGGACAGCAACCAACCAGCCATCTTAAATTCAACACGTCCAAAGTTGAAGTTCTCTTCCCCTACCTGGTGTACTTCCTGCGTCCTAATTTCACTACTATCCTCCCAGTCATCCAGACTCAGAACCTGGTTGTCATTCTTAACTCCTCACTCTCTCATCCATACTCCCATATCCAATCTGTTGCCAAGGCCTGTCAGTTTTACCTTCTTGACATATCTCATATGCGCACCCTTCTCTCCTCTGACACTGCCACCACCCTGGTTCAGGCCCTCACCCTTCATGACCGGACTATTGCAGTAGCCTGGAGATTGGTCCGCCTATCTCTCCTCCATTCCGTTCTCCGCCTACTTGTCAACATGATCTTCCTGAACTTTCGGCTTAACCGTGTCACATTCTACTCGATAAATTTTAGTGGCTCCCCATCACTTTCATGATGAGAGGTTTGGTGTCCAAAGGACATCATAACATGCTCCATCTTCTCCCCACCCCCATCTTTCCCAACCTTTTGATACCTTATTTAGCCCCAGTCTTTCTAGGATCCAGTGACACTGGCTTCCTCACTGTTCTTCACACAAGATTCTCCATTGCCATACCCTGGGCATTTTCACTGGCTGCCCCTCATGCCTCCACTTCTCTTCCTCCTCATCTCTGCCTCTTAGCTTCCCTGGCTTGCTTCAAGATCCAGCTGGAATCCTACCTTCTACAGGAAGTCATTCTAGTGCCTCTGCTGATCATTTCCAATTTATCTAGTATATAGCTTGTTTGTATATATTTGCATGTTGTCTCCTCCATTAGATTGTGAACTCCTTGAGGGCATGGACTATCTTTTGCCTTTATCTCTATTCTCTAGTGCTTAGCACAGTGCCTGGCACATAGGTGGGTCTTTAATAAATGTTTATTGACTTATGGGAAGGCTTTGTGACTTCGATAAAAATTAGGTGAGTTGGTAATGTGGTATCACAAGTAAAGTACACAGATCAATATTTGTGGCTCTTATGGTGATGTAGCATCACATGATGCATCATTTTGATTTCCAATACATTTGGGTAGAGGATCCCCATGAAAGAAGAGTGGGCAGCAGGTTGTTTTCATCTAACTTATTTCTCTTCCTTTACTAAGAAAATTACTAAATGTACAAATTGGTGTTTTAAGGGCATATGCCTCATATACAGTCTGGACAGTTCAGTGTCAGTTTTACTTTTATAAACTGACGAATTATCTGATGGTTCACATTTCATTCAGCTTCTAATGTTTGGGACTATCTGGAAGAAGGTCCCATTGAAGTGGAATCAGGTGTTGAACACATCATTCATTTGTACATCTAAGTTCTGTACTCAGTGTAACCTAAAATAATTAATCAAATACATACATAAATAAATAGGGCAATAGATAAGTAGACAAATAAGTACGTATGTATGTGGGTATGCACGCATATATAAAATTTCCAGATATATTTCACAGAGCTGATTTTAATTTCATATCATATAAATGTATATTTATAAATGTGTATATGCATATGTGTATATATATGAAAAAAAATATATGTATATAAATACACACATTTACACCACAGCATGAGCTCTACTGGCAAGAATCCATGCCACCAGTAGCATCTTAGAGGAGACCATGGTAGTTTTGTTAGTCTTATGCTTAATGGAGTCCCAGGTTATGATACATAAACATGCATGTCTTGCATGTATGTATATAGGTGGATATTTTGTACATATATGTATATTATACAATGCATGCATATGTGTGCCTATACATATGTACATACATAAATGTCCACATTTACTTACTTGTTTATTTATGTGGCCCTATCAATCCTAGTCTCCAGGACTGGGAATTTGAAGATAGTCTTTTCTTTCTGAGGAACACAGTCTGAAAGAGCTCTGGTATGTTGATCTGTGGGACCTGCATCTATGCTAGATTTCTTTGTTAGATCTGGCCAGTGGGTAGCCAGTTAGTCTTATGGTCAGACCATTCTTGATACAAAGTCCTACAAGAGAGGAAGCAGACATAGATGCCGCTTGGCTGGAGGTGAGGCAGATTCAGGCATTACCTCATCTAGCTAAGATCACTTTACTGATACCACATACACAACAAGCACTTAGAAAAAGGCTCAAGGGTGAGCTACACTGGCAAGAATCCATGTCATCTGCAGCTCCTTAAAGGAACCCATGGTAGTTTTGCAACACCACTGGTCTTATACTTAATGGAGTTTCAGGGTGGATTCTGGGTGTAAACTGCCTCCAGCAACCTTTAAGAATTCTCCCGTGCTGCCCATGATGAATAATGGTGGACACAATGAATAAGCATGGAGAAAGTCCCCTGGCATTCCTTGCTCACAGAAGGACTTGAGCAAATGGATGTTTAGTGTTCCCTAGGGAACATCGAGATTTGTCAATTAATAGCTGTCAAATACACGAAGGTAATCTGAATCAACATCTAAACTATTGAGTTGTGAGACTAGATAACTTGGATTAGACTAGAGAAATAGTCATTTATGTTTAAGTAATTTTAAATAAATTTAAATGAATTTTAAGTGAACAGCTTATGTTAAGTCTGTCCTTGGTAGTTTCCTTCTTCATAATAAAGCTTCCGGAGAGACATTGATTTTTGTAAAGAAACTTAGATATTAAAGAAATATATTAGAGATGAGTTTAGAAACGAAGTACCTATTTACATGACTATCAATAACCAAATCCTGCTCATCTAGCTGTTTTCTGAGAGAAAAGGAAGACTGTTAGTGATTTTTTCCAGTTTGATTAATCTTTGCTTGACTTTTTAATAGCATCAGTCAGTTTGCTCTTTTTTACAACTTGTCAGTTGCTTTTAATCTCATCTGTCAACTGACCCCCAACTTTGGGGATCAAGTACTATATGAAGAAATCTGGATTTTTTCTGTTTTACTTTGAGAAATCAAGGAAACACTGTAATTTTCCCTGATAAATTTTCCAAGCTTCTTTCTACTTACATAATTCTTGGTATTTGTTTTTCTTGTAGGATTTAGTTGTTCGTATTGTTTTCATTCTTGGCAACCTAACCGCGAAAAATAATCAAGCCCGGGAACAGTTTTCTAAGGAGAAAGGTTGCATCCAAACCCTTTTATCATTATTCAATACTTACTATGAAATGGATTTGAATTCTATGAAAAGGATGGATGAAGAAGAAGAAAAGAACAAAAAACAGAAGCAGCCTTCTGAGGTAGAAGATGTTCTCATGAAGGTGATCCGAGTACTGGCCAATATATCTGTTCACCCCAGCATAGGGGCGGCTTTGGCTGCAGACCATCAGGCAGTGGCACTCCTTATCACAACGCTGGGTAAGTGCCGCCATTTTGACCAGGCTTTTTTTCTGTCATCTTTATTCAGTTGTTTAGACAGGTTGGAATGTCGTCTTCTGGCTCCAGCACGATCAGTGTTTTAGCGGCATGGAGGTGGCGGGCCCTAATTAGGACAATTGGTCCATTTTAATACAGCTCTGTGTTTTCACACGCAATGTTTTGAAATGACAACCCCAGCCTTCTCAAGCCACAGGCAGAAAGTTTCGTGCTGGGTACTGAGACTCGTCTCATAAATACCGTGATAGGGGTCAACAACTGGCCAGGTTAAACACAAAGTGTAAAAGTTCAGACTTGTCCTCTGGTGAATTCCACGTGGTGAATAAGTTTGTCAGATGAAAGTAATGTTCTAAGATATACGATTTAATTTTAATTTATATTGCTCTACCTATATCAATTGCTAACATGTAGCGCTTTGTTTGCAGAGTGCTTTTTACCTGTGCTATCTCAATTACATGTTACATAAAAGTAAAATACTCACATTTATCATTGTTTATCCTAATCTATACCCTCGAGTATATGAAGAAAATGATAACAAAGTTAACTCAGATTTACATGGGGCTTTAAGATTTACACAGCCCTTTCCACCCAACAGTCCTGTGACGTAGGTAGTGTATCACTATGCCTATTTTACATATGTGGAAACTGAGGCTTAGAAATGTTAAGGGACTTGTTCATGGCCATTCTGCTGCTAATGTTAGGTCTGAGATGCCAGCACTCAGCTCTCAACTGTGCTTCTGATGCCTCTTCCAATGTACCACCCCACCTGTCCTTAGTTTAAAAGAAATAAGTCCAAGATAATTGGCTTGGCTGTTACTTTCAACCTCAATAAAAGATTATGTTTAAATGATTGGAAGGAAGCTGAGATATGGTTTGCAGATCATCTGTGAAGTTGGTTTAGTTTAATTTCGGTTAGTTATTCCTGCCTCCCATTAGTACACAGGATGATAAGATCACAGATCTTAGAGTTGGAAGGTACTTCAGAAGTCACCTAGTCTGATCCAGCCTTTGGTTTAAAAAAATTTTCTGTCCCTCCCACCACTTTTCCTAACATTAAAAAATAAAAAAAAAAACCCAAAACGTTCCTAACAAATACACGGTCAGGGTGAAACAGATTTCTGCATCAGTCAAGTCCAATACATATGTGTATGTATATGGGTGTATATGTAGGTATATGTGTGTGTATTTACTCACACATATGTATATATACATTGTATATATTTGTGTATCTATCTGTCTAAATCCAACAACTCTCTTTAGGGAGGAGCATGTCTCATCATGAATTCTCTGGAATTGAGTTGGTCATTCCATGGATCAGAGTTCTGAAGTCTTTTAGGATGGTTAGTTATTGCATTTTTACTGGTGTTATTGCAAAAAGTGTTCTGGTTCTACTCACTTGACTGTACCAGTTTACTCAAGGTTTCTCTGAAACCATCTCCTCCATCCTTCCCTAAAAGAGTACACCATAATTTGTTCAGCCATCCTCTATGTATAAAATGGAGTTGATAGTTCCACTACCTGTAGGGTCATTGTGAAGAAATGCTTTTATGGACCTTAAAGTACTATAGCGGTGGGAACTATTATTTAAGGGTAATCAATGGAACATCTTATAAGGCTAGTGGAGGTCTGACTTAGGCATATAGGTAAATGGAAAGGAGTCAGCAGGCAGAAGAAATTGAAAACTTGGGGTATAGTGGAAAGTACACTGGCCCTGATGACCAAGAACCATACTGTCTTTTACTTACTACCCAAGTGACCTTGGGCAAGTCTTAACCTTTCTGAATCTCATTCTCTCATCTGTAAAAAATGAGGAGGTTGAACTAGAATGACCTCTAAGGTACCTTCCAGTTGTAGATCGATGACCATGTAATTGATGGCACAAGGTCTTGGAGGAGGCAGGAGAGGACAAAATCCAGAGGACTGTGGAATGGTTAGCCTGGCAAGGAGCAGGCATGCTTCCTCAGAGATGAGGGAAGAAAACGTAGAGTGAGGACAGATTCTTTTAAGATGGAGGGAGAGAGAGGTTGAGAGTTCTCAGTGGATTGCCTCAGTCTCTGCAAGGTAGGAGCAGAAGAGTTCACCTGCTGAGAAGGGTGATTGTGATGGGGTTGGAATAGCTTTTGTGGTGAATTCCATCCGGAATGACAAGGAAATGAATAAAAGGGTTGTGAAGCTTCCTTTCAGAATTTGATTTCACAAGCCAATTTGAGAGAGAGTACAAATTTGCATGAGAATAAGTGGTCTAATAAATACACCCCTTTTGTTTTTCTGAAGCTTAACACTGTGTTCAAATTAGAGTTGCATTTCTGCTGCTCTCTTCTGTTATTACCATTTCATTACTTTTTTGCACTCCCAGTGAAGAAATGTAGAAGCAAACTAGTTTAGGGAAGAAAGAGTATTTAACGTATGCTATGTAGGGACAAATTGTCTTCTGTATGCTGGTAGTGAGCTGAAGGCCTCAAAGGCAGGGGAGACCTCAGGCCGGAGATCTCAGGTGAAGGAAGGTTAAATGAAAGAACACTGCATTGTGGTGAGGACCTAGGTTCGGAGTCTGCACCTGCTGTTTACCTTCTGCGTGGTCTTGGGCTAGTCACTTCTTCGAGGTCTCGGTTTTCTCATCTGTAGATTGACGAGGTTTATACTAAATGGCTTCCGAGGTACTTTCTAGCTGAAGAGCTAAGAACCTGTGATAATATAAATCTTTCTGAGCCTCAGTCTTTAAAATAGGGGATCGTCAGATCATAGTGACGTCAAATTTTGGAGCTGAAAAATAATAATACCCATCCTACCTATTTCACAGGATTAATATGAGACAGCCCATAAAGCACTATACAAATGTACGGAATTATTATTAATGTCTTTATGGTTTTTAAAATTTTTTTTCTAGTGCCTAAAATGGTGCCTTAGCACAAAGTAGACAATTAAAAAAAACAAACCAACAGCACCCCATTTGTTAATTGATTGATTCTAGCCTTGGAAAGTAGATTCTAAATAAAACTATCGAAGAGCAGATTATGACTGGCATTGAAATTATGACGTGCTCTGTCCTCTGGCTGTGGTGAGTGGTTTCCCCTGTCTTCCATTTTTTTTTTTCAGAATATAAATCTATTGATGAATGTGAGGAACTGGTAATTAATGCTACAGCAACAATCAACAATTTGTCTTTCTACCAAGTGAAGAATTCTGTTATTCAGGACCGAAAGCTGCACATCGCCGAATGTAAAGTTCTGGGTCACTTGGGGTTGATAAGTGCTTCTTTAACATTTTGATTTCCATTATTTAGATACAAAGCCTCAGTATTTTTTTTCAATTAAAATGCAAAAAAAGTGCCCTGATTCATTCCTAAGAGCAAAGCTAAAAATCCACTTGCCATAGTAATTCACTATTTGGTTTTATTAATATAATTTTGTACTTTTCAGTTACTTGTATTTAGTATGATATCAGTGTTTTAAGGACTACAGAAGTGAAGCATTTCTTAACTACCTCTACTTTATTTCCTAAAAAAATCAAAATCAGTGCTCTTAAAGCTTCTGATGAGCAGCAACATGGATGGAATCCTGGAGGCTGTGCGAGTCTTTGGCAATCTTTCCCAATATGATGAGATTTGTGACTTCATTGTACAGAAGAATGGTGAGTGCATGCACAAGTTCATTTGCAGACACCTCTTGCTGATTTAGCTTTGACTTTTGCATTAGTCAAGTGGTTTTTGGGCTAGATTTAGCATGCCGTGATCCTACTTTTGTTTTAAGTACAAAGCTTTATGTCTGACTTCCTAGCAGTAAGGGTTAGGCAGGTCTGACCACATTACCTCCTCTTTCCCCCACATCCTCCAACACAGTGTTCCCTGTTATCTCCAGGATCAAATATTAAATCCTCTGTTTGGCACTCAGAGCTCTTCGTAACCTGGTTTTCCCCATCATGAACCTTTCCATTCTTTCTTATATTCTACACCCCCCCACACACATTCTCTTTGATCTGGTGACAGTGGTCTCTTTGCTGTTCCTCTAACAAGACACTCCATCTTCCAGGCATTTTTCAATGGCTGGCCCCCATGCCTGGAATGTTCTCTCTCTTCACCTCTGCCTTCTGGCTTCCCTGGTTTCCTCCAGGTCCTGGGTAAAATCCCACAATTTACCAGAAGCCTTTCCCGATTCCTGTTAATTCTAGTGCTTTCCTTCTATCAAATGTATCCAATTTATGCTGTTTATGACTTGTTTGTACATAGTTGTTTGTATGTTATCTTCTCCGTTAGATTAGGACCTCCTTGAGAGCAGGGACTGTCTGTCTTTTACATTTCTTTGTATCTAGGGTACTTAGCATAAGTGACTGGCACATAGTAGGGGCTTATCAGCTGGCTGACTGCTGGTCTCTGTATTTTGCCCAAGTCCAAGCTGGGTTCTGAGTGCATTCCTTTTACTAACAGTTATCAGGCTTCTTTCATCTGTAGAGTTGATTTTTCGGAGATTAGGTCAGAGCTTGGCAAATTCTTGCTGGGACCTTCGCTGAAACCGCCCAGGGCCATAGCTTGAGTTAGAGATTCTCTTCTGACCCTTGTAAATCAAGAGCAGGGCAGAATTCTTAGAGGTGAGGAGTTGCAGAGACATCACCCTTTTTTTAATCTGTATTTTCCCTTCGTCCTCCTAGACAAAGAGACTTCTTCTTTCTTCTTTCCCTAAGGAGGTGTGGATGGGATGAGAGTCAAGCATACAGAAGGGCAGAGGCAGTGGGGATGCTGCCGGAGTAGTAATCAGAACTCTCCTTTCTCCCTTCCTGGCTCTAGGCTGCACCTTGGGCCCAAAGACTTATCTCCATTCCTTTACACTGTTTCTGTCCAATGTGGAGTTTCGGCTCAAGTCTGAAATATATTGGCTGGTGAGAGCACAGAAGATGCTCCAACATGGTGTGTTTGTGTACAGTAATAATAACAGTGATGATAGCTCACATTTATATAGCACCTTGAAGTTTGCAAAAACAGTTTTCTCACAACCCTAGGAAATATATGGATTGCCATAATGAGTGCCATATTGGTCCATAGAGCTACAGCACCCTGAAGAATGAAGTCTCTTTCAAAGGAAGAATGGCTTTGAAAGACTTTAGAACTCTCCTGAATGCAATGATAAATCATGAGCTCAAAGGAATGAAACAGGTCCTCCACCTCCTGCAAGAGAGGCAATGGATTGAAAATGAAGGATTAAATACACATTTTTTTAACATGGTCTATATGGGAATTTGTTTTGTTGGACTGTGAATATTTGTTATGAGTTTTATCTTTATTTTCTATTATTGTTTAGTGGGAGGGGAGTAGGAGGGAGGAATAATGCTTGTAAAAATAAATAGATGAATGACTAAATAAAACAGACACAAAATAAAAATTAACAAAAATTTAAGCTTTTACAAGAAAAACATATTAGTATAAGTTGAAAATACCATCAGTTTGGGGCTATATTAAAATATTTCCTATACTCAGATTAATATAGCAATATTCTCATTTTATATAGGTGAGACTCCAACTGGAGGCCAAAGCCTTGTGGACATTGAAAATTTACCTAAAATATTCCCTTAGTAATTAACAACCACCACCACCCTCCATCATACCCTTCCCCTTCCAGTGATTCTAAACCCTCATCAGTCATCATCCAAATCCCATTCCCCGTTTCCACTTCCTGATTCCTTATTCTTTCAAACTCTCTCATCTCCACTCCCAGTGTCCCAACTCCAAAGCTACCCACCCCTTCCACCGTTCTCTGTGGAATGCCCACTCCATAGGCATTGCTTTCATCTTAAATTGTTTCCTTTCTCACTCCTTCTGCCTTCTGGCTCTCGCTGAGTCCTGGCTTCCTCCTAATGATGTAGTCTCCCTTGCTGCCCTTTCCAGCACTAACTGCATTTTCACTCATCTCCCCTGACTTACTGGTGGAGGTGGAATAGTTAGAATATGCCTTGCTACCCATTCCACTTCTAGGCTAATCCTCTATCTCCACTCAACAACCTCTCTTCCTTCCATCTATTTCTACCATCCAATCTAAATTCTAATAGCTGTTTTCTACTGACCTCCTCATAGTCCTTTTCTCCTGCCTTCCTATGACTTCAACATATATATTGATATTTCCTCAACAACCTAATTTCACATGCCACAACATACTCATTTCATAAGACCTATTACTTTACTCTACACCAACCTCAGCCACATACAAAGATGGTCAGATTCTTGATCTTGCCACCACCCACAAATGTACCACTTGCATGTTAATGAAATGTGAAATTCCCTTATCTGATTGCAACATGGCATCATTCTGACTCTCCTTTTGCCTTCACTTCAAATGTGGTTATTTGTCTGCATTATGACTTCTGATACCTGGATCTCTCAGTTCTCTACCAGCCCATCACCCCTACACTAGCTTCTTTCCCCATCGTGACCCATGCATTGATGAGCCAGTTCAGCTCTACATGATTCTCTTGAGTTGCTTTTGCCTTCTTATGTCACTGATCTTGCCCTCTCAATCAGCCTTGGATCACTCCTAACATCTGCCTTTGAAGGCTCCAGTACACATGTTGTTGAACAGAAGTGGAGAAAATCATGAAACTGTGTTGACTGGATCCACTGTAGATTTATTACATAACTTCAACTAGGTCCTAACTGTGGTGAAGCAGTCCTTTTATATACCTCCCTCATTAATTCACTATCCCACTCATCACAGTGGTTCTTTCAAGCATTTTCATTCCTCTACAAATTTCCTATGGGTCCATCTCTTCCTTGCCCTCCTCTTCCCTTCTCAACTAAGAACCTTGCCTCATATTTTACTGAAAAAATTAAGGCTATTCATCAAGGGCTTCCTTTTCTACACTCTCCATCTCACATCACTCAGATGCTTTGTGCCATTATCTTCTTTACTCCTGTCTCACATGACGAGGTGGCCCTTCTCTTTACCAAAGCTAACCCCTCTATATGCACAAGTGATTCCATACCATCCAGTCCTCTCTAACAGATTGCCCTTCTGTGTTATTTCCCCTTCTTTCATTTATCTTCAGTCTCTCCTTGTCTATTTGCTGATTCTAAGTTCAGTGCTGTTTCTGCTAATCCATACCATCTGTCCACCTACAAGTATACCGTTAGAAGACCATGTATATAAAGTGCTTTATACCATAATGTGCTATGCAAATGTAAGTGACCTTTGTTGTTATTATTATTATTAATTACTTTTATTATTGCCCTATTAATACCTTAGGAAAAATGTCCTAAGTAGGCTTAGGTTCTATGTTTTGCTCCATCACTGATTCTAAGCAAGGCATTTCTCCTTCCCACTGTCCTTTTTGACAAAATGAGACTGTGCATCGTCTTAAGGTTTCACTATTGTGTTTTTCTTCTCTTTGCTCTATCCTTTATTTTTCCTGTTCAGTCTACAAATTTATGATTGCATTGCTGGATGCTAAGCACCAAGATGTTTGCTTTTCTGCCTGTGGAGTTCTCCTAAATCTCACTGTCGACAAAGACAAGCGTGTAATCCTAAAAGAAGGGGGCGGAATTAAAAAGTGAGTTAAAAGACACAGTTCAAAACAAATTAGGAACGTTTTAAATGTCTTTAAAATCCAGAGGACTTTGCATATAGGGGACAGTGGCAGTTTCTGTCATTTTTAATTAAAGAGACCAATTCCAGATCGAGAGGCCCCAGTTTCTACATGAGGAAGTGCTGTTAATTATTTTCCCATGTCTCATGCCTTGATGGGAACATGGAAAAAGAGTGTGTGTGTGAAGCAATAAAGTGATGGTATAAGTCTCTGTGTGTGTGTTGTGTTGTGTTGTGTTGGTGTCAGTTGCTGAGTACATTGAAGGGAGCCCAAATGCAGATCAATCAAAGTCTAGCTTCAGGGTCCAGTGCCCAATAGCCCAGGTCCTCTTGGGGAACTGTTTGAAGCAGAGAGTGGGGGTGGGGAGGATACACATTAGTTTGGTATCAGTCACTCGCACATAAAAGGGCCCACAGAACTGTTGTTGCATTTACTCTTTCAAAACCTCCAGAGGAAGGGATTGCACATAGACAAAGATAATAATTGCTGTTTTAGAAATGAATTAATTATTCAATAGAACATGATTAAATGTAACATGAATTATATGTTTAAAATAGAATTAAAAGGTAAATATGACTACTTTTTAAAAATGCAGAATTTTTAAGTGAGTCCTGCCCTAATCACTCTATATGGTTTATCCCTCCCTCTTCCCTGCCATCTTTACATCTCAAGTTCCCAGATGTGTAGGTAAGGTCTGTGTGTCAGTTTTAATTTTTTTTTTAATCTCCCCTAGAACCTATCAGCATATGGCATATTGTTGTTGAATGGAACTGAATTGAATCCTATTTCTTTACCAAAACAGGTTAGTGGATTGTTTAAGAGACTTTGGCCCTACAGATTGGCAGCTGGCCTGCTTGGTTTGTAAAACATTATGGAATTATAGTGAAAATGTCCCGAATCCTTTGTCGTGTTTTGGAGATGAGGACACGAATACACTCTTAGTCTTACTGTCATCATTTTTAGGTAAGGATTTTACAGTGAATGAGCCAAAAGTTCCTATGTACCCATGCTGAAAGATGATCATTTTTTTATATACACTCTGGTATATGAGATGCGGTGTGTAAGATGTGCAAATGTATTTCTGTGAGAAGGAAAGGACATTTGAAACATTATCGTAAGTACTGCCATAAATTTGCATTTATATAGCATTATATAATTTTCAAAGTGGTTTCACATAGCTTATTTCATTTGATCTGCACAACTCTGAGGTACCTAGGACAGATAATTTTTACATTCATTTGATAGATGAGAAAATTCTTCTTGAAGTCCCTTGAGGTTAAGTAATTTTTCTGAAGCCAAACAGTTAGTGGCAGAGTTGAGGACTCAATCCATATAATTCAGATCATGTAGTTTCTGGTCAACATCCCTTGTTTATACTTCTTTGTAGGGGTTCTTATAACACTTGTCTGAAGTAGTTAGCCAAAGATTATAAACTAATTTTGTAGTACCATGGTGTCTGCATTCAGTTAAGCTTTTACTTTTGTTCTAAGTAGACCATATTTGTATTTTTGTGTTAGAGAAATGGCATACTGTGTAGTTTTAAAAGGTTTTTTACTTTTTTAAGGAATATTTCTACCTTCTTAAGTAATTTTTCACCACATTTAAAGTATAAAATAAATTTTTGTGTCTTATCCGTCTATGTATGTATCTGTGGTTTGATTTTTTTGATCTAGGTGCTTTATATTACTTCCTTGGTGTAGTATGTATATTAATGGAGAAATTATGTATATTAATATTGTCCAATCAGAACTTTTGACAAAATAGACCGAAAACTGGAATTGATTTGGAAAATCACATTTGTAAGATCAGTATTAAGCTTGCTATATCCAGGAAAAATATATCAAGATAAATTTTAAACTCTTGGAATTCTTGGATGATTCCCCCTACCTATCTCCTTACACTTAGGGCTTTATATCCCATCCAACCATTAATCTAGGGTTCTTGCTATCTGCCTTTCCATCCATCTCCCCCAAACCCTGCTTTCTGCTTTTCGCTTGGTAAACAGTAATCAAATTAATACTGCCACTGCTATTGGAATTTTCTTAAAAATTTAACTATACCATGGCTCCAGTCACCATCTCTGTGCTTCACCAAACCAAAACTCCCTTTCCTTACCACCATTCTCCTGAAGGTTTTGTCTCTACCTATCAAAATGTCAGCTCTTGAAGGGCAGGGACAGTCTCACTTTTGTATTTGTATCTGTGGTTTCTAGACATTTATAGTCACCAAAATACTTAAAGCAGCACTTTTGTTTCTTGTTCTTTACTAGACAAAAAGTGCTGCTATAAAGTATTTAGGTGTCTACAAGATCCCTCTTCTTCCCCCCCCCCTTTTATTTAATTAATCATATCCTTTGGGCATATGCCTAACAGGAGAACCTTTGGGTCAAAAGGTATGGATATTTTAGTTACCTTATTTATATAATTTCAAATTGCCTTCCAGAATGGTTTTGCCTGTTCACAACTCTACCAAAAGTGAATTAGTGTACCTCTTTCCAAAAACCTTCTAACACTGACAATTTCTAGGTTTCTTTTTTCTTTTCTTTTTTTTTTTGGTCTTTGCCAATTTGCTGGATGTGAGGTGAAATTTCAAGAATTCTTTTGATTATCATTATTAGTTATTTGGGGCAGTGTTTCATGTAGTTGCTAATAGTTTGCAATTTTGATTTTGAGAAATGTTTTTTCATATCTTTTTCATCACTTTTGAGGAATGGCCTTTGGTCTTATGTATTTGTTAGTTGCCTTTATATCTTCAATCTCAGACATATCAGAATCTTAGAAATATTTATCACAAAAAAATTTCCTCCTATTGCGTCACTTTTTATTCCACTTTCATTAATTTTGCATGTGCAAAAGTTTTTCAGTCTCATGAAATCAAAATGTTCTATTATATTTTGAAAAACTGACTGTATCCTTTGGTTTTTACCCCCTAAGCCATAGATGTGAAAAGGTACCTGTTTTTGGTTATACTTTGTGTTTTAATACCTTTAATGTTTAATATATTTATATTTAATATTTTAAGATTTATATTTAATAATATTTAATATTCAGCTCACTATTCCATTTTCAGTTTATTGTGGCATATTGTATAATATATTGGTCTAAACCTAATTTCTATTAGACTATTTTTCAGTTTTCCCAGTAATTCTTTCCAAGTAGGTAAGAATCCCCAGGTAATTTATGTTTGTGGTTTATTATTGTACACTGGGTTATTGAGTTCAGTTATTTCTGATTCTTCCTATCTAGTCTGTTCCATTTTTCTATTTTCTTATTTTGAACTAGAATGAAATTAACTTGTTTAATATCTATTCCTTGTTTTATTCAGCAAATGAATAGCCCTGACTTCAAGGAACTTACATTCTACTGTAGTGAAAAATAAATATAAAATATATACAAAGTAAATATAAAATAATATCAGGAGGGGAGGCCCCCTACACTAAACTGAGTAGAGCAGGAGGTGCCTTCAATAATGTGTGTGACACCTGATCTGAGCCTTTAAGGGATGTAGGAATTCTCAGAAGTGGAAGTGAAGAGTACATTCGTGGTAGACATGTACAAGGGCAGGAAGAACAGAGATGAATTGTTATTTGCAAGGCTAGTTTGCCTGGAATATAGTTTGTGAAAAGGAGTAATGTGTAAAAATCCTGGAAAAGTAGGCTAGAACTAGATTGTTCAGGGCTTTAAATGCCATACCAAAGAACTTGTATTTTATACTAAAGACAGTGGAAGCTCCTGGAGTTCCTTGAGCATGAGTGGCACAGTCATACTTCTGCTTTGGTAATATCAATTTGGCAGCTTTGTGAATGTCAGATTGGAGAGGAGATGACAGGATCCAAAAATATCTTAACAGGCTAGAGCATTGGCCTGAATTTAAAAATATCAAATTCAATAGGGATAAATATAGTCTTACACTTGGATTCAGAAATCAGCTTCATAAAGAAATGATAGATGAGGCATGGTTAGACAACAGTCTTGTTTGAAAAAGATCTAGGGGTTTTAATGTACTGCACCTTCAATTTGAATCAACATTATAACATGGCAGCCAAACAAGTGAATACCACCTTGGACTGCATTAAGAGAAGCATAGCTTCCAGGAATAAACAAGCAACAGTCCCTCTGTACTGTGCCCTGGACAGATCACAGCAGAAGTATTGTGCTTAGTTCTGGGTACCACAAGCAGGAAGGAAATCAGTGGGATCATAGGGATCCAGAAAAGAGCAACCAAGATGGTGATGGGCCTTGAGTTGAAGGAACTCAGGATGCTTAGCATGTAGAAGAGAACATGTAGAGATGAGTTAAGGCTCTTATTCAAATATTCTGGAGTGCTGTTGTGTGGAAGAGGGATCAGACTTGTTCCATTTGGTTCCAGAAGACAGAACCAGAAGCAATAAGTGAACACTGCAAAGAGGAAATTTAGTCTTGATGTCAGTAAAACTCCATAACAATTAGAGCTATCCCAGAGTAGAACAAGCTACCTTGCATTTTCTCTCAGTGGAGGGCTTCAGGAAGAGGCTAGATGATCATTTGTCAGGTATATTATAATGGGGATTGGACTAGATGACTCAGAGGGGTTCTTTTTAACTGTAAATCTTGTGCTTCTTGAGAAATTGGAAGCAGTGGGACCAATAATGAGGTTATTTCAGTTGTCTGGGTGAGAGGCGATGGATGAGGGCCTTTCTTGGCTGGTGGTCCTGTGAGTAGAGAGAAGAGGATAGGTGCAAGAGATGTGGAAGTAGACGTGGCGAGATTTGGTAACTAATAAGATTTGGTGGAACAATGGAAAGAGGAATTGAGGACAACTATTGTGATCTCTGTGACTAGAAGGAAGATGGTACCTTTGGTGGTGTTGTTCAGTCTGACTCTTTGTGACTCCATAGACCATAGCACGCAAGGCCCTTTTATCCTCCACTATCGCTGGAAGTCTGT